ATGTACACACATATATATATATACTTATAGTTTAAATGCCGTTATTATAATGAAAAATAATATTATACTATCGGGGCGCCGTATAATTATTATCGTATATAGTCAACGACTATGCAAATAATACGATGCATATAATTACACTGCGTTTGCCTTTATTTTTTTTTTTTTTTTACTACTAGAGTAGCGTTTGAAATGGTATCGGTTTAAAAATATAAAATGTCAGTAGCCTTTAAAATTGTATTAATTGACACAATTGGTTTTTTTTTTTTTTTTTTTTTTTTACGAGACTACCACAAAAAACGTAGGTACGTAACGCTATCTACCACGATGATCATTAACGGCATACGAACAAAGTAGAGTTTGAATGGTAACGCGCGCGTTGAGCGGAACGAAAAAAAAATGGCCAGGTGATAAAATGCAGTTCGATTGATATTTGGAGCGAATTGACTAGTCCCGACGGAAAATGCCCCAAAGTCAAGGTAATAATATATTTTAATTCCCGGACGTTTTCGGTAAGCGAGACTCGAAATTAATCGGAACCGGTACTGCCGATAATAAGCGGGACACTGTTGTAGCAGGAAAGTCGGGAAGACAGGCCACGGCATAGAGTCACATTCAATTTTTATCTGTACGAAACAATAAATAATTGTCAACGAAATACGATTCTGAGCGAAAGTTAAGTTACACGTGTTTGTGAAATGCAACGCTTTTTAACGATCTATGTGGAAATTTCAACTTGTAACGCTTGAATAAAAAACCTGCTACTGCAATCACGCTCGACATCGAACGATTTTGTCGACACAAAACCTAATAAAAACTAAAAATGCCTGTAAATATACTGTTAATGTAGTGTAAACGATAGCGAATCATATATTTCACATCGATAAAATATCAGTCACTCGTGACATCACTACAATGAGGATTAAAAACAAAATGGCGAATAAAAATGTACGGCCGTACACGATCCCGGTACTCGGGCTCACTTTTGACGCACTCTCTTTGGACGTCGTTTCGAAACGTGAAATTATATCGTTTTCACACTCGCGTCAACGCAGAGGCCTGCAGGAAACGGGTTTTTATTTTTTTTTTTGTTTTGTTTTTTTTTTTTTTACCGTATTGCACGAGTTCGGGTGCGGGCGGCCTTCGCGGAATCGCAAGCGTCTCCTAAAAATCGCGGTTTTTTTTTTTCACGCACCGGAGTTCTCCGTACGAAAGAAACGAAAACCGCCGTCGGCACCGACCGGAGAGAACGACAACGACGACAGCGACGCGCGAAGGGTTTGTTAAAGAGGAATTTTTTTTTTCGAGTATTTTTTCTCATCCCTCTCTCTCACTCTCTCTCTCTCTACCTCTCCCACCGGATATTATTTACGTGCGTATACAAACACGGGTCGTACACGTACGAAATGCGTGTATAGTCGTTAAACACGTTCGTAAAAAAAAAAAAAAAAAATATAATAATAATGAAAATACCCTTTAATTTTTAAATTACTCGCTCGGTATAATTTACGTGTACACCTAGTTTGAGTAAATTTACAGCCGGCGTATAGGTACGATAATAGGTATTATGTAAAATATAATGAAAAAAAAAAAAAAAAACTCCCGAGTCGGGAGGGTGCGTGCGTTATATTATAATATTATTATTATTATTATAATATCGCACGGGGAGCGTCGTGCACGTGACGTCGGCTTTCGATAAAGGGTAGGGATGAGTAATTTATCGTCGGCGAGCCGCGTAAAAACGTAGTCGGACAACGGTCGGTCGGCTTTTTTTTTCGGTTCTTTCTGTTCGTACAAAATTATTTGTTCGAAGACGATTTCCCGTGGGATGTTTTTTTTTTTTATACGCAAGCAACAATAGCATAACGTTTTGTACGCGGCGGCCGTGTACGGCGCGATAAACCGCGCGCATAATAAAAACGGTAATAACGACTCGATAATCCGCGCGGTCTCACGCGGGTACACGTACAGGTATTCGTTCTCGGATGTAACAGCAATTACGGGGTGTTTTTTTTTTTTTTAAATTTAATATTCTTTTTAGTCTTTTCCACGCCTTTTGTCGCGTATAGGTGCTGTCGTCTTGACCGCGTCCGCGGATTACACGGGAGAACAGGGATCCGAAGTGAGCCGCAGCGTTCGCGTCCGATCACGCTACGCTAGAGATAGGCGGCTTTTTTTTTTCAATTTTTTTTTCTTCCCCCCCCCCTTCCCCCTCGGTGCCGGGCAACTGCAGTCAGTGACCGGACCGACCGTCGAGACTTAAGCCCTGAAACACGTTTAAAGATAATATTATACTGGCCGTACACGACGAGACGAGATAACGAAACCCCCGGTATAGCGTTTTCGACTTTCGACCGATAAAAAACGTATTACGGCGCGCTCTATAAGTTTTTCGGGGATATAAACCGATGAGTTTTTACACAAATCCCGATATCTTAAATCATTGTGATAATATCGCCGAGCACGCAGTAGAAGCATAGGCGTCATTTGAAGTAAAACCATGGGGTAGCGAACATCTTAAATAATAGTTTTTAATTAATTCGTGATTCAATAACGTGTCATTCACTTCATTAGTCGGTGGATCAGGTCCTAGTCATTAGTTCATTAGAATTAAGTAGAAAAATATCGAATACATTTAAAAATATAGGTTATTATTTGATTTAATTTTATATGCGTTCAAATTCAATATAGCCTATAGTGTAATTGTTAAATGTAACACGAATGCATGACTCATGCGATCTATTATAAAAAAGCAAAACAATTGCTCATAGGTTAGCGTAGCTATTAGTTTGCAGCTCCGAAAAAATGGCGGGTAGCATTTGCTACCCATCGCCATCCCATAATGACGCCTGTGGCTAAAAGATTTTATTCATCAAACGGTTTGTCAAACGAGACAATATTAGAGGAACCGCGTTCTATGTCGTTATCACAGCTCGTCGCTGGAATCACCGATTTAATTTACCACCCAGTCACCCATCAGTACCTATCAGAAAACCGAACGTTTTCGTGTACAAACCTATAGCGACAAAACCCGAAATGATTTTGTACACCACGCGTCCTATAAAAGACGAAAAAAGACGGAAATGTGCAGACGACGAAAAACTGAACGTTTGGTTTACGGGTTATTTTCCCCGCGGATTTCAAAAAATCTTTACGGAACACATGTTCCGAGTCCGCGGGTACGCCGGTCGAGAACCGCGGCACGGTCAGAGTGACACGCGCTGTCCGTCCTTATCATCGGACACTCTCACGTATCGGCGATTAAAGAAAAACAAACACGCGTCGAAGTTTTGGCGGTTACGAAACGTTAATGTACTCACGCGCCGCGTTACAAAACCGATCGATACGACAATCGTGTAACGCCGCGGCGCGTCCCGTGTCCGCCGCGTAATTTCGTTGTAAACCGTACGGAGTGCGCGCGCGTCACTATCATACGACACGGGAAAACGTGTCTCGAAGCCGTTTCGAAGTAATCAGAAACCGTTTCGTGCGAGCGTTCCGTAAACGCCCCCCCCCCCCCCNCCCCCCGAGCGACGTTTGTTTTTTTTTTTTTTCCGGGACGTTCGCCGAACGGGCGGCACTGAAATTTCAAGCCGCCGTTTTATACCGTCCCCGCCGCCGCGTCGACCACGACGCGCGAGTCCGCCGTCCGCTATTGATTTCCGAAATATTAAAAATTATCGACCCGCGTTCGAAAAAAATCCACGGTTTAGTTTAAACACGCTTCGGTGTTGACGTTTTCAATTTCCGTCAATCCGTAGCCGAGCAATTCCGCTTTTAAGTTTGCCGTCTTGCGGTTAGAAGCAGGGGAGTGGCGGAGCACCGTTCAAACGCCGTCCCGCCACACAAACGGCGCGCCACTACTCTCCCCTACCGCCTTAACTGTAAATTATAAAGTGCGGCGAGGAACAACGAAACGTTACGTTTAAGATTCGATCGGTGTCTAACAGCGTTCCTGAAAACGAATTTCCCCGACGAAATCATCACCTACTTTCCGTGATAAACCCCTTATTACTTTGTGCGGATCACCGTGTGTAAGTAAGTGCCTATTAAAATCTCGAGACAGCGGTGGGGACTTTTCGAACGGCGCAGGTTATGTCGGAAATAATAATCGCGAACGAATCGTCGTTACATCCGTGATACTCGATTTCACGTTACCGTATGGACAGTGGCGGCATGAACGGGATTGAATTTACGCAGCTGCCTCACGAGAAAAAGCGTTTAAAATAATCATGTTTACGGTTGAGTAGATACAAGATACTTGAGGTACAATGCGTAGTACCTGATGAAAGACACCTTAATTTTTAGATTAAAATTTTAAAACCAAGCAAGTTTAGATGCCGATCTCTGACTTGGTGTGCGGTTTTTTTTTTTCAATATTTCGTGTTTCTATAAAAAGGAGGGCGGGCCGTTTCGAAACCGCATTTTACTGCGTCATCACTGCGACGGAATTAAAAAAATGGTCTTCCACAAGGTAGCGATACTTTTTAATGTATACGCGAATGACCAGCCCATACTGAAAAACACACGCCATACGTCGACGATCTAGCGATAACTGCACGAGGAAATACGTCCAGTGTAGTTGAACAAACGCTGGCATGTGCGCTAGAGAAAGCGGACAGGTACAAGACACACAGCTCACTGTAACGCGACCCTAAAAAAAACGCAAATAAGTGCATACGACCTCAACAATGAGCAGACGAGAAAGAAACACAAAATGCAACGATTGCGGGGCATCAATCTCGAACACACACAAAAACCTACGAAAAGCCTAGGAGTCATATATTAGATAGGGCGTTGACATTCAAAAGTAACTGCGAAAAAATCAAAATGAAATCGAAATCGCCTAATAATGAAATTAACCGGGACAACGTTGGTAGCCGACGACTGTCAGCTGCTAAGGACCGCAGCACTCGCCTTGTGCCGTTCGGCCGGAGAGTATGCATGCCCGGTATGGAGGAGACCGTGTCGTGCGAAAAGGACGGTTTTAGCATTAAAAGAAACGCGCCGCCCAACAACTGGATGCTTAAAACCCACACTCCATCTTTGGTACAAGTTCTAGCTGGCATAGCACTCCCCGATATTGTTTTTATTAAGTGAATTCGCTTCGCGGCACCACTGTGTAGGGGACTGTGTAACCGTTTGCAATTACCACTACAGGTGGCAGAAAACAGTGTTTGATATTGGCGCCGAAATAAGGGCAATGCGATGCGCACCACGTCGACCGTAGGCAGTTAAAAATAGCGTTTGTAATTTGCGCCGAAATGAGTTCGGCTATGTATTCGATTGTCCATATTCGATATTCGATCGAATCACAGTATCGCATAACGGAACGTTTTAACCGACACAAACTGCTACGTTCAAAAGTACGAAAGTTATCGTTTCATTTAAGATAAGTTTATCTTTACGATATTTCGTTTCTAATGAACGAATTTATTAATATAATACACCCGTTACGTGAAACTTTACTATTACATTGTTTGATTGGCATTTTCAAACCGTCGATATATTTCAATAGTATTTAATTCTCTCGTTTAAAACGATAAAATGTATTTATTTTGTTTCCGGGATTCCTGATTACACGTTACCCTATCTGGTAATCGTTTCGAAATTTGACGTTCGATTGTCCGTCGTTAGCGCATAATTTATTATTTATGCCGAACTCGTTCATTCAACTCGTTCGAATTTTCATTTGTAGCACACAAAAATACCGAATTATATTTTCGCCCGTAACAATACGATTGTTATAATATTAGGTATATAATATATGTGCCACACATTATTGTTATACGGTGACTTTGAAGTCAACACTGACGCACTTACTTACTTTACGTACGGTAAAACGGTGTAAACAGACGAGCGTAGTAGCCACTCAAAACCGAGACGGCATATTCCGTGTCCATAGAGTATAATTTATTGTGATATCGAGACTTGTACGTAGATTACTACGGAAATAATAACCGATTTGAATTTCGGTGCAAATTACAAATTACAATTTCTCATTGCCTAAGACGGTGCGAATTACGTATCTTCAACCCGACTCTATAACGGACGTTGAAAAGTCGGCGGTCGTTTTTCAATCAATAAAATCAGGCATTCCGTTGTAACTCGACGTTAGGAATACCGACAATATTTTACGCGATATCGAATTACTGAATAAACACTCGTAATGCAGTTATCGTATTTTTAAGCTAGTTAGGTTCGGCGGTACGGTGTAAAACCCATTCTGGCGCGACCCCCACCCCCCTCCTTGCGCTCGCTACGGAAAACGTAATAATCATATGCCTGTCCCTTTTATTATACCTGCGTACAAAATGACGGAGACGCCAACACTAAATTATTTCGAAAAAGACATCGTCCTTATGAATACGTGACTCTGATCGCGTACCCAACAGTGTTATTACAATATGTTAATTAGTTTATATTATCCGACATGCGTTAAAAAACAAAACAAAAAAAAACAAAAAAGTCATCGAAACCGTATATTGTTATGATATTCGCTACCGACGGTCCTACTGTGTTGGAAGGGATGTGTTTAGATTACCATCGTCGTAGTCGGTTTTTTTTTTCCTACCGTATTTTTACCCCACAGAAACCTGTTTTCGGACGAAAATTTAAAAAAACCGTCGCGTTGACGACGTGGGCCCGCGACCGATTCGGTTTTAGAATATAATGAGCAGATATAACGACATAATAATATATGCACGTCAGTGCGCGTGTTCGTTCAACGCATTTTTCGAATAATTTCCCATTCCGATAACGATCGGGAAGGTTAGGACCGCGGGAATCGGGCGATTTTTACGAGTGTATATTATAATATTATAATAACTGAAGAGCCGACTTTAACCGTTTTCGGTTCGCGTGTGAAATTTCAATCCGCGGGCTCAGTAGTGTACTTCAGTTCCCGAGCAAAGCGAGAAATATATCGGTTTACTATATTGTTTTTTTTTTTTTTGTAGTTTTCTTAATAAACCAGATAAACGGGTAATTGTTTAATTGATTTTTATCGATTTCTGGATTAACCTTGACAACAAGGGAAAAAATACGACTTGAAATACTTTGCTCAGAATCGGTTTTCGGTAGTAAGTGTTTACCATAATGATAAATCATAACATTAAAAAAACTATATGAAACTCGGCACAATGGTAAGGTTACAATAATATATTAGTCGTGAATTCTTCCCTCATATATTATAATATACATTATGCAAAGTAATCCAGAAATTAACAAAAATACAATTTAACGCATTTAACGTTTGTTGTCGGTTTTGTTTTGTTTGTTTTTTTTTTTTTTTTAACTTTCTAGAAATGCCTTTGTGAATTTGGAAAACTGTTGTATCTGCTCGCAGAACTGTTGTTCCAATGGGAGGGTAAGCGGAAACGCTACAACGGATATCGACTGTAAACAAAGTCCCGGTAGCTGTATTTGATTTGAGCTTTTTCCCCTTTGTGAACCGTCCGTGTTCATACCTAATACCGAATAATATTTATTAATCGGATACGGCTATGCGGCGCAATATATTGTGTTCTTAATTACAACGATATCACAAAACAAACACAAATATGTACAAAACCGTACCAGACGGTTTTTTACTAATAATGTACGTTTTCGTTTCGAGGGGAAACACGTATGGAGGAGATATTGTTAACCGAACGGCGGATTTTCGGACGGCACCAACGAACGACGACGACGACGGCGGGAACAAAATAAAAGTAGTTTTACGTCTCCGCGAATCAAAAGCCCTCCCCGCTATAAGTAGTATAGTAGTCGGTTTATATTATTGTTTATTTGTATAGGGAAAAAAAAAAAAAAAAAAAAAAAAATGTTTTTAGTTTCGTCTCTCGTTAACGAATGCCATTACCGCCACCGCCGTTTCGGAAGGAGATACTTATATTATATATATATATATATATATTTTAAAAAGAATATAACTTTTATTGGTCAGCGACGGTGGCGGCGGCGGTGGCGGCGTCTTCGCCGTCGCGGATGGAAAGCCGAGGAAAGTTTATATATTATACGAAAACGTCTGCCTGCTATGCCCCGATGGATTGCGGATGAACTTTGCCGCTGCACATCTCCTCTCAAAGCGCCTCGGAACTTTGCTTTCGATAAATCTAATTTACGTTTTTCTCTATTATATATAAATTGTTACATCGCCGCCGCCGCCGCCGCCGCCGCCCCGTAATCCTCGTCGCTTCCGGCACAATCCTTCAACCAGACTTCTGCGTACGGGTTCGGTGTTCCGTTATACACATAGGGCTCGAATTTTCGTTTGAAAACAGTGTGCCCCCCGCCCGTCTGAACCGGCACAGGATCAATACAATACAAATTATATCGGTCAACAGCGCGAAACACGATAATTATCGGACGGTATATGCGTAATATTATTAATATTTAACGAGGCGTTTTTTTTTTTTTTTTTTTTTTTTTTTATTTTGATCGGGTTCAACGGCGAATACAATAGTCGAGATATTTATCCCGAAATAACTGTCGTAACCGTTATTCCGAGTAGTGAATTCGATTGCAAGAAAATTCAAAACGATGCCGTGTGGCATATTGGCTCCCGCGTGCGCTTTCGACGTTACATCTGGAAAGATATATCGTCGGTCCTAGAGATGAAAGGTTAAAGACGGTTTTGGGATTTTGTATTTTATTTTTTATTCGTACATTACGATTGGGATTTATTTCGATTCCATATGACCTAAACCATTAACAAACACGAGAATTCGGGCGAGGCAATTTAGTAGTTTAGCCATTTAATAATTATGGCATTAAGTCGCTGAGGAATTTTCTAGATTCCATTTGCGTGTATTGAACCACGCACAATTGACTTGAGCTCTTCTTCCTATGTGCCAAGTATTATAGGTGTGAGTAATGGTTTTTTCAATCAGAGGAAATAATCGAATATTAGTAGATTTCTAATATAACTAGTCATAATTGTATGTTTTATATATTTAAATACTATGTTATGTTTTTAACTCTCTTTTTTTTTCTGTTAAATTCACGGGTGTTACCACTGGGTAATTTCTCATATTAAAAATATTCATTTTTATTATTTATAATTTGACATCTCATTTACTAAATGCACATACTCTTGTGCAGATTGTAGTTTACTTTATCAAACAAAAAAACAAATTTTTTCAGTTGGTAAAATTATTAAATTCTCAAACTGTTTCTAAAGCTTTAAACATCCGCCACTAATTCGTCTATAGAGTATCTGTGGCATCAAGGAGTTAAAAAACGACCGTCGTTTACTTTAACCTTATACCAGTTAACCGGACTTTTTCTAATGATTTATCGTTGCTTGCGTGAGTAATATATTTAATATAGTAACTAAACTATCCTATACTTTTCGAATTTCCCGCCCACATCAGTGGTCTACCACATGGCGCGAATTACGTCCACGGATTTTATTTTTTTTTTTTGTATTACTATTCAAACCGCAAAAATTGTTCAGTTGCGTACGATTGTTTCGGATGAAAATATTATTCTTTAGACATCGTGTTTTAACAATGAGACGGATTGCACAACAAACGTGGCCCAGCTACGAGTTAATTCGAAGGGAAAGTAACAAAAAAAAATCTTTTTTTTTTTTTATCTTGTTCGCCCTATTGTTTGTCTTTATTATTATTATTATTTATGGATGTTGCGATGCGATATTCGCAGGTCTGCTCCGACGGAGATACCGCAGACATAAATCCTTTCCTTTTTTTTTTCCCTTCGCGCATAGTTATTTTTTCGTTGGTGGTGTTCGTCTTTGCATCAAGGGGAAACTGTATTGACGTGTGGACACCGTGGCTCGTGTTATAAACTAAAATAATAATAAATGACGTATCTATCGTTTTAAAAAAAAAATAATAATACGAATGAAAAATATTGAAAAAAAAAAAAACGAAAACATAAAAAAAGCACAAAAGATTGCCTGAATAATCCATTCGAAAATTTCGGTAAAAGGAATACCCCAACCGCCCGCTGCAAGACTAGGCTTCGTTTCGGACAGTGGTGCAGGAGACGCGATTTTTCTATAATAAGTACCCGCGTTTATTTTGTGCGGGTGGTGATCGTCGACCTATGTCGCGAAAAAAATAACAGACGGCTGCGCGTCAAGCGAATACCGCAAATACCACTGTTACCGCGTCGCGCACTCCGCCTACCGCCGATCTTCGAATCTTTATATCGCCAGTTCTTCACCCTCACCCCCCCCCCCCTTCCACCCACACACCTACAATCGCCATCGCCACGGCGATTGTAAAAACGACAGGACGACGAGACCGAAAACACACCTGCGTCCCTCACTTGTCCCGTATTGTCGTCTCGTCGTTAAATAATATCTGCGCCCGTCATTGTCGTCTCGAAAACCAGCAACGAATTTTTCTGGATTTATTATTACGCGTAAACACATTTTTCCTTCTCTTTTCTCTCCGCCTCCGTTGTCGTCGTCGTTGTACCTTATGCATATACGCGCGCACACATATATATACATACATATATTATAATATTATACACAGCTGAAATACGCGAACGGCGTGTGCGCCCGGTAGCCGCCGCAAAACGATAATAATATTGCGGGAACAATTAAAAAGTTCATTCTTATTGTGTGTTTGGTTCAAGGGGAAAAAAAAAACGTTCAAGTAAATTGTAAATGTGTTTTGAAAATATAATATACACTTGTATAAATACTGTTACACTTATGAAATTTAGACCGAGATAATTTATACCAAGGGAACGAGATAAAATTGTTTTTGAAAGAAAAGGTAAGACGATGGGAACAGGTGCAGTCACTGGTATAGGTGGAAGTTGAGTAGGTAAGATACAGATGGGAATTTAATGTATATCTGTAGGAAACGATAAACCGTTGATAGTGAAAAAACGATTCTGAGCGAAGTTCAGTCGACAGTTATGCTATGACAACAATATATATATGCCTTATTGTACTAAAATAATTAAATAGATTCTATATATATTCTTTAATATTTGTTTGATGTTGTACCGAATTCTCTGGTTTTCCTACCTTTTACTCGAATTTCCCAAATTTCTTTCTTCCTAACTATCGGCTAGTATTTTACTGGCATATTCATAAATATTAAATGGTAAATATACTAGAATTTAGAATTTAGGATTTTACCAAAAGAGCGAGTTACCGAATATGCAAATTGCATTGGTATTGAAAAACCATGTACCAAGACTGAAAACAAAAAATCAATTTGTATAATTTATTTTATATTTTTAATTTTATAAGTAATTTATAATTCAATCCACCCCGAAAACAATATCATTAATGATTAGGTATTAGGAATTATTAGTTTAATGAGTTTAATTACCATGTAGATACTTATTATACAGGGTGATCAAATAATTGTAAGACACTAATTATCTTGAAAAGTATCAAATTTCATTGGCCTGATTGTATTGTATACGAGTAAAACAATTATACTTTACTGTACTATCTACATTTTTTTACTGTAACGCTCCAAAATAAGCAATTTTTCGACGTTTCAGAAGAACAACTTTTTTTTCAGTTGCCATGAGCAAACCTTTTTTTTAAACAACAGAGCGCAGTACATACCCGGAATTCCATCAGACAAACAACGGACGTGAAAGCGCCACTATTTTTTGACAGCGCGACACTTCCCCGTCTCCACTAGTAACTGTGACAGCACCAATAGATCTCAACAGCATCTCACCCCCCATCACTACTAGCCCTCGCATAAACCTTCCTAGCACACGGCAGCCCATGGTTACCAAACCGCTGACTGGTATCGCCATTTCCACTAAGTGCAGAAACCCTGTCGCATTCCGCGTCCCGACGATCACCCAACAACCGATTACGCGATCGCGCCGTGCGCACGCACGAATATTATGATTGTATTTATATGCATTGCCGCGAAAGTACGGGTTTTTTTGTTTATAACTTTGTATTTTATACTAGTAATAAAAATGATCTCGCTAAGTGCGGAACGCCTGCCACACTCCGAGTTCCGCTGCTCACCAAACCCAATACCATCGCTGTATTGCGTTTATACTCAATTAAAAATTGTTATTTAGTGATTATTAAACGACCTGACGGAAATCCCGCAAAA